TAGGGCTGGTGCACATGAGGAAAGATGTGGGATGTTCAGAGGGGAGTGAGGAGGCAGCATGAGGTCACACAGTGGTGTGGGAGGTAATCAGACTGAGTGAGGGAAGGAGGGGGTGTCAGATTGCTGTGCTGGCACAGTGAAGGATGGGCACTGAAGATCTGCACTCACCCAGGAGAGGTGAAAGGTTCACTGTAGCCCAGCCTTCCTCACCCTGGCAATGGTATTGACCTGGTTGGCACAGGACTCCTCTCCAACATCTCATCCACAAGGAATTCCAGAGCCCTCGTGGAAAAGTGCGCCAATCTAAGAGAAGCCAGTATTTCCACACCCTCCCCATTACTCTGCCATCTCCCTGATGCTGAACACAGCTGGGCAAGTGTGAACTAATGGAGCTGCCCCAAGGGATGCTGGGCTAGTGGAGGACCATGGCTGAGCAGCAAGTTCCTCTGTGAATGGGATTTAATAAGATTGAGGGTGAGAATAGGATGGGATTCTCATGGCAAGGATTTGAATGGTAATTAAAGTGGCAAGTTTAATCATTTTTCCCTACGGTGTAGAAGCAGGCCATTCAGCCCATATCAACCGTCTGAAGAGCATCCCACCCAATTTCTGTAACCCTGCATTTTCCCCATGTCTAACCCCATCCAGCCGGCACGTCCCTGGACACTGTGGGCAATTTTGCACAGCCAATCCACCACAACCTGCACATCTTTAGACTGTGAGAGGAAACCCACGCAGACACGGGGAGAATGTGCAAACTCCACACAGACAGTCGTCCAAGGCTGGAATCAAACCCAGGTCCCTGGCGCTGTGGGGTAGCAGTGCTAACCACTGAGCCACCATGCCGCCCCACTGTATTGGTGGTGAGATATGGTGAGAAAAGCTCACTTGCCTCACAGCAAGACTCACTCCACTCAATCCCAACATGACCTGCTGGTGGTGAGGAATCTTGCCATTTGTTTTTGGCTAAGTTCTATTCACCAGGAAGGCTATAAAGCTGCCAATCACCATCAAAGCAACCAATCAAATCACCCACACGAGTTGATCAACTGCTCAGTGGTCAGAGCTTGGTGCTTCAAGAATAGAAATTAAATGAGAACAAATGTACAAAAGATATCAACGATTCAAAGTGGAATATTTCAGTTGATCATAAAGTTGGTCATGTTCTGTTCCAAATCTATCCAATTAGTTTTGTCCCAGAATCCTGCCATCTCTCAGGGACCCACATTTAATTATTCCTCATTCCAAAGAGCTGAACTCATCTCTCATTGCCTTTCGACATTACTTGATATTGAAAGAATGGGCATAGAAATGTGAATCCTTCTGGATTCAACAGCTGGGTATACCATAGAGAAAAGTTATCATTTCCCTCAATACTTAGTTGTGGTGTTGCATTCCACAGTGTTTTGCATTCAAAAACTCTCCCTGTTATGATTCGATTAATACATGCCAATCTATTCCTCCTCATCATACTGATGCACCAACCAGTGAGAATTAGTTTTCACTGTTTACTCTCTCGATCCCTTCACTAATCCTTGAGAACTTTTAGCAGATTTACATTCCACTCTTAACCATTCCCTGTTAATGTGAATGCAGGCCTCATTTTCTTAGGTCTTTCATCATTATTAAGTCCTACCTCTCCAGTAAGGGAACATTGTGCTTATATTGCATCTTTCAGAACCCCGAAATGATTCAGACTCATATTCTTTCAAACATAGCCAATGTTGTAGCTTGGGAATTAGTGCAATGTACAGGTACAGGTTCCCCAGAAAGCAGTGAGGCAAAATAACCCGATTTATCTGCATTTGGCAGTGCTGGTTAAGTGATATATGTTGGCTAGGACGCTGGGGACAGCTGTCCTGTTTGCAACTCCTATGGTGGAATCTGAGGGAGCAAATGGGGACCTTGGCCCTGAAAGAGAGCACTTCAGACACTGCAGCTCTCTCTCAGAGCAACACCGAAATGAATCAGAGATAGTAGGAGCTGCAGATGCTGGAGAATCCAAGACAACAAGGTGTAGAGCTGGATGAACACAGCAGGCTAAGCAGCATCACAGGAGCAGAAAGGCTGACGTTTCGGGCCTAGA